AATTTTAAGTGTCTGGGAAACCAGTTAAAAATTTGGTTTTGTTTAGCTGCCCATTAGAAGTTCTGGGTACTGAACTTCCAAGGTGTGCAGGTCCTGGATATTGAGGACTCCACAGAATATTAAAGTCAAATATTCTGGTGAAAGGAGAACTGGTATCCTTTCTGCTCTGCTCCCATTGGCACAGCCTGGATGGTGCAGGCTTCAATTCCATCAGCCCATTGGTCCCGTACCCCTCAGTCCCTGGCCTCCCAGTCCCTATTACCTATTTTTATGATCGGTGCCATCAACATTACATCCACGTCCCAGATAACGCTTAATTCTTCCCAGTTCACAATTTTTGGCAGCCTGGTGGATCTTCCCAAGAGGGTTATATCCGAAAAACTTGACTCCCAGGCTTCTATAAACAAACTTTCTCCAGGCTCTATCCATCCTAAAGACAATACCAAAGCAAGTCTGCTATTACCTATCTGCCAACCAACTGGCAAAATAGTCGTTGCCAGGTGACACTGATAAACACAAATGAACATTCCACAACATGCATGGCCCTAGGTGATTGGCTCCTGGAAGTTCCGCCCCCTGTATTGTGATCAGCACCTGGCTATTCTGTACAGACCCCACCAAGAACCAGGTGGGACTGCTCTGAGAACCTCAAGACCCATACAGTGAGTGAAATGCTCTACCAGAATCAGGTGGACCTCAATGGCAGGCAGGTGAGAACACCACACACCCAGACCTGGGTGGGCAAGACTCATCCTCTCTGCCATTGCATGGCTGCCTATTTGCACAGCAGGAAACAAATACTGCACTCTTCCTATTACTTTATTCAGTAAATGGCAGAAAAGGAGATCCCTGACTTAAGATGTCCATTAAAAAAATCTGGAAAAATTCAGGAATGCATTTAATTATAGCAACAGATTAGAAGAAAACAACAGAATAACTGCGCCAAAAGCAATTTTAGTGTCACTCTGCTGAATCATCCACTCCCTGGCATAGCTCTGCTCAACACAAAGAGTGAGTAAGCAGCCCACCAGTTCCACTCAAAAGCAAAAGGAGAATAGTGTAACAACCATCACCCTAGGCTTTCCAGTGTA